AGATGGACGAGTACTGAGGCGCGTCAAACCTTCGTAGACCCGCTGCAAGAGTCACTAGGAGGATCAACCCAGTACGCCGACCTCGTAGGAAAGCCTTTGAAAGCTGCTACTGAGGCCGGAGCCCAACTAGAGAAAGTTGATGTCAAATTTGAACGTTGGAGGCCAAAGCAGAATAGCCAGCATGAGAAGACAAGCTATCTTGTGCAATAAATAGTATGTGTTAGTCGGATGTCATTTTAATTCTCTGTTCTCTTATAGACTACCTGATTAGACACATCTTGAAGCATTGGCTATTGCCTACCTAAACTAGGTACCCAGCTTATTGGTGTCTTTAACGCAGTTGACACCCATTTATCCCCGTCTAGGTGAATAACGCCCAATATGATAAATAGCACGTACTTAGTAGCATCTGGGAATGGCTTTAAGTAATACTACTAGATCATCCAGCACGCGGAGATAAAAGAAACAATTCAGTGGCAAGTAGCTGATGGCAACTGTATTGAGGAAAACATGTAATTTTCGAATAATACACCTCGTACCCGCGGTAAACTGGCTAAGCGACGGTGATGGTTCCTTGAAATGTCTCGTAGCCACGTCCATCTACATTACATGATAGGCCTCTGCAAACCCTTTCGACCAATCAAACTTAGGATGGTACCTATAATAGGTATTGTCAGCGTATGTTGAATGACCCATCTCGGAGCTCTTACATTGCTAAGGCGAACAAGGCAAAGGCATCAGCTGTGCGAGACGCTCTGTCGGCATCTGCCTTTGCCAAATTCAGAACATACATAGTCCCATATGTCTTCACTGGGTTTCCCTTGGAATCCTTGACTTGTTTGCCATTCTGGTCTACTGCTGGCTGGTCTGGCAAGCCTCCGTTGGGATACGAGCCGTAGAAATGAGCCCTGGTAAAAAACAGGATTAGATATAACTACTCACATATCCTGATACTTAACTGTATTACTTACAATTCATGGACCCATGTTACGGAGAGGCTGTTTCGTTCTTTAGCCATCAGATGGTCGTATTCCTTCACCATATCCACATTAAGCGTCTTGACGACGTTGTTACTTTCCCAAATGTAGTCGCAGAACGTGATGATGGTTAGTTGAGCGATAGTAAATGCATATACATTGTCTCCGCAGAAATTGTGTTTCTCTGGCGTTTGATCGGGATTCATTACCCTATTCCCGTTAAAGTACCAATATCTATAGTACCAAGTGTTAGTTACTTCAGTTATCAGGTACGCTCGTAACTTTTCCCTGTTGGTTTCAGGACAAACACTCAGTGGCATAGGTTAATGCGAAGTGTTTGTCCACAAATTCGGGGAAGATTGAAGTGGCTACTCACCCTCGGGGCCATCGAGGCTTTCCGTCGAACAGCTTTTCATCGCTAATTTTCTTCGTGGGATCTAGAGGGTTTGAGGCGTCCGGCTTATAATACTTCCATGCCTTCACACCGCAGTACAAGCCTGGAGGAGCCCTCATTGAAAGCTGGTCGTGCTTCATACCGTCTTGCATCTGGCCAAAGATCTTGAGAAAGATATGAGCCCATGACCCATGGCAAATGTCAGGGTGCTTACCTTCTCGACAAATTCAAAGTTATCTCTTGACTCATCCAGAGGTCCTCCGTTTTTGGAGGATATCTTTATCCCGAACATAGCTTGTGGTAAGAAGTTAGAAGTTTCACAAGCTAATACGTGGTAGTAGAAACATACATAACATAGCTTGGGCCTGCCTATCCCAGTTCCATCTATCCTTCAGCTTAAGGGCGCCTGGCTTCTTATTAGTCTTAAGATAAGCGATTGCATCGACGGCCGCATCGATAAGCTCAATATTAATTAGCAAAGTCCTGAATAGCTCCGTAAATTGAAAATACCTTTGATGCCTCTTTGTAACTATCATCCAAATCTTTGGCGTGAGCTTTACACCCATTGTCTGTGTCTCGGTTCGGCCAGTATCGACTGAAGAATTTGTTTACATCTGCTGCTGCTTCGACAGCTGTAACGACAGTTAGGACTACGGCCAGTATCCTACCAAGGCGGCCGACAAGCATTTTGGGAGTATGGATGAATTAATATGGATTCGCTAACACTATCGGTATGGAGGACACTAAGGGGTAACGGGAAGCGGATGGAGTCGTTAAAATAGGAAAACATAGATACTTTGGTCAGTAGTATGCTTTTCTTCTTCTTTTTTTGGATTGGAAATATCAAGCAAGTATGTCTTCAATTTCTAACAATAGATGTAGTGAACCAGGAAAGTCCTCATACGGGAACTGATTGACTCTACGAGATGTGTTGCTGTTAGCTGTGCCGTCCTCGCTTGAACTTCCACGCGCAGCTGAGCCATAGGGATCATAGTGGTATCCCAAATTTATTTTTAAGTCTGGTTTGGTAGGTGTCGTAGGAGACTCTAGGGCTGATAATTCATATTATTGGCGTAGTCTGCGTCACCTAGTCTACGTGACCCATATGATTTAACAATGTTGCAATCCTGTCGACTCCCCCCCTATCTAGAAGCGATCATCCTCAATCCTTCTGGCGCAGCTACGGAGATGCGCCATGTTTAAGCATGAATCCTCCCGCAAATGACGACCCATTCATTTGTTGAAACATTCCTTCAAATGATCAACGTCATTCTTGCTGATTCTGTCAATGTAGGAGTTTAGATGCGTCCCTACTTTGGAAATATTTCACGACCAAAATATCTACGGTAATCTGCGAACATTTCCTCACGCCCATACGATTCGTATGATTTAGGCATAGCTTCTCAGTCTCAGGGTTCTCTAATAGATCGTCACTATATAAATATTTTAAGAATACATCATCTGTCTGATTGGTTACGTCAACTTTGATGAGCTCCCAGCTAGCAACGTCCATAACTGTACATCTGCGCGCAACGTCTGCGACATCTATAATATTGCTACCCTCCCACTAGCAACTTTCGAGTCACTGGCCTTGCCTATCTATTGAAAGTATTCCTCAACGGTCTTGATAGTCTGATGCTTTAGTATTTCGTTTCCCCGATACTGCTGATAACTTAGAGCATTTCTTACCTTAGATATCTTGCCATGTCGACCTCTAACGTTACACTTCTGGTACTCGCCCTTACCAGTCAACTGGTAGTTGGTGCAGTTACCGACCACCCGATCAGTTCTACCGAGTCGACGAGTCGGAGCCTTACATCGTCAACTTCACAGCCGACGGTCTTGGTGGTAACCGCTACTACAGGTAAGCATCCGACGAGCCTCCATAAGCCCCAAACGACCTGCTCCTTGATCACGAGTGATAACTTTTGAGACTAGGGACTCCACCACCTACCGTAACTTTCACGCCTGCTCAGGACACGAAGAAGACTGGTATCAACTCTCAGACAACATCAGATGGTACCCTCTTCTTCCCATTTGGCTGGTTTTGGGCGCCAGTGACACCGCCACCTGGTGGGCCACCACTACCGCCAACACTTCCACCTATTCCTACGACGGCGACCCCGCCAAAGACATCCCAACAGACTACAGAAAAGACCACAGAAAAGACCACCAAAACCAGTGATAAATGCACTCAAACAATAACTCCAACTGCTACTATTGTAGTTTCATATAGTGACCAAGGCAATGGGGCTTGGAAGACTATAACTGAGACTAGGGATCCAAAGTGAGTGTTCACAGACCTGTCGCCTAACACCAGTTGGCTTTTCATCTAATCATGAGATAGGGACGCAACGGGTTCATGCAAGGGGAAAGTGGCTACTGAAACAACTACGATCTCTCCATCATCAATAGCTCATTATGATTTCACGGGCTCATTGGAAAGTAACCCGCATCCCACCGACTTCCCTGATCCTAACCAGGCCGTTCTTAAGTATCGTGAGTTAACATTTCTTTATAGCCATTTCAATCATCGTGTTTCATTCAAGAGAATATTGATTCCCTTGGGGGAACATCTTATGGCTAGGAAGTCGTAAAATGGGCATTACAACCCACAATACTTTGTAAACTGCCTAGGAGGTAGATGGTGCTAACTACTATTTCCGTAGTCGACGATGCCTTCAAGAGTCTGGACCTTGTCGAGACCTCTTCGGCTACATCGAAAGCTTCTAGCACTCCGCAAGCTTCACCTACGGCATCGGCTGTTGCTTGTAACCAACAGACGGTGGACGACTCCGGGTCCGAAAACAAGCCCAAGGACTACCCCAAGGGTGCTTACCAAGCGGGCGCACACCAATTCTGCTTCGGTGGTTACGGTTGGGTGGCCAAGTCAGGCGACAGATACTCTGCGAACAATTATTTCTGGTTTGATACAGATCAGTACGTCTTTCGAAGCTCCCTGCTATTTCAGCCTATCATGGGGATCGTACCTAGCAACGATGAATGCATTTTCATCGGAAGACTATGAAACTCTACTTCCTTAATATTGACAAGGTGTCCGAGAAGAATGTTCGCTAACTCGAGGCTGTGTATAGCATCGACCCGGATACCAAACTCCCTGCTTATTGCATTGGATCAGCCGTAGGTAGGTATGATCAGTGGTCACCAGCGAGCCAAAAGTATTGTCAGGGTGGTAAAGGTCTCGACAATTCGAACAGTAAAGTTTGGTACGAAGTCGTGCCCTCGCCAGACCAGAAAGGTTGCAAGCCTATTAAGGACTATAAGCTCCCATCCGACCAAGACTGCGTGGACCGTTGGGACAAGATCATCAATCAATGTAAGTCGCCAAACTCCGAAAGAGAAGTACGTAGGGCTAATTCTTGTTTCTCACTCGATAGGTATGAAGGACCACGGGACTTCTGGCATTTATAAAGAGGAAACTGATAAGGGTTGCTGGGACTGGAGGGTCTGGGGCCGAACACTAACATGATCAAACAGCAATAGCTTAGATATGGTACACCAATTGATGGTTTTGATACTGTGTCATAAATGTGGTTTACAGTGCGGCGGGTCCCCGCAAAAGAAAAGGAGAACGGTACCGAATTAAAGAAAAGGGTAAAAATAGAAACCGACGCAGGCCTGATTCGAACAGACGCTCCCGAAGGAACAAGATTAGCTTTTCAGAAGAAGTATTCTAGTCTTGCGCATTAGACCACTCTGCCACTGCGCCCTCATTTCGGTGTTGTTAGTAGCGATGGTGGTGTTGTTGCAATCCGCCGATATGAACCCTTACGCTCCCCGTTTGTAGCATGAGCCAGTGGAGTTGTGTTAACGCCAACAGTGAATCATGATAGCTAGCGTAATGAATCTCTTAGTTCTTGAGTGAATTATAACTGGAGATAAATCATTAGTGAATACCCTAGCCAAGACAATACTATGATTTTGAGCGAGATATATGTCGCACGAGTTCATGATTGATGCGACCAAATGATACGATGTTGCACACAAATTTCCATGTTAGAAACATTATCACGAATTTTTAGTCATTCTATAGGGGAACTGACGAGGGTTCAATCCTTCCAATACTATCAATATACCTCAAAATGCTCATATGTAGTTGAGATATAAGCATCTACATGCCATGCTGGGAAATATGTCCCACGTGGTGCCATTGTCCATCTCATTGGAAAAAGCCTCAAACCAGGACTCAATCCGGAGTTACATGAGCTGATGATAGCGCTTAGCTTCAACTCTGATCCTATTTAGCGACCGATCGCAGTTGACAGAATATGGAAATGACCTGTATGTCATAAGAGCCCAATGATGAGTGGAACGATTGTAATCTTCGATGAGAAACGTAAGAAGGGAGAAGAAGTTTGCTAGTTGCTGGCAGTAGTGGATTTATTAAGGTAATGCGAAGGGTCAAGAGGGGCAACAACTGCACAATTGCGTACCTGAAGAACGTAGTGGACCCACCCACCAAGCCTGTCTAGACGATAAGATAAGAGGTCCGATAGATGGAGGGGCTTGGCGGGGCCTTTTTTTCTTTTTCTTTTTGCAGACTCTGGTGACCTCAGCATTGCGTGTTGTGAATTGTATAGCTCCCAATTGTTTGGACTGTGGTGCTTCCACCCATATGAATATAGCAACTACGATTCATTTCTATACCAATTGGTATGGATTCATGTAGACGAGACTGATCAAAGCATTGGTAAAAAGCTGACCTCAATGCTGTTCTGAACACTCCGAAAGCAATCGGGCTCCCCCACCTTGACATCCCAAGCAAAGCCAAACGTTTGGAGGGGTAAAACGTGAAAGCTCGCCGGCATATTCCCTAGATGGCACTGTAAATATTCAACATACCCGGGTTGCCCGTCCATTGCTCCGCGAGGTTACCCGGACAGGAAGCGGCAATGCGTTACTAGTAGAAAAGCCAAAAGTGAAAGATTTTTTTGACTAGAAGGTTACAAGAGAATGATACGATGATACAATGATACAATTTTCTTCCTGGCGAAATAAATCGGGTCAATACTTGCCTCCATAAAAATTATCGGCCGTCTGCGTCACCGTGGATCTCAGGTCAGACCCAACGACCCCTCCAAAGCCATTGCCCCCCCTCCCTCTTTCAACTTTCCGTCTTCATTACTTTTAATTCCCTCAGAACCCTCACCAGTTTCAACAATCATTTCATTCCTTTACTCTTTTTATCTCTCACCGTGGCATCCTGATAAACTGCCCCTCCGTCCGTCCCGCGAAACCCCAACATACCATCCATCATCCATCTTCTTGATTATCGTACATCAACGCAATTCACCATGGGTTTAATGGATAAGCTGAACCTCAAGCCTGGCGTCATCTACGGCCAGGATGTCTTGAAGGTACGCTAGCTACTTACAAATCCATTGTGCCTAAAATGTCTTATCTAGCCTCGAGAGAATAGAGCTAATATACGTCTTTTTTCTAGGTATTCCAATACGCCAAAGAGCACCAGTTCGCTCTTCCCGCTGTCAATGTGACCTCATCCTCAACCGTGGTTGCTGTCCTAGAAGCAGCCAAGGAAACGAGATCTCCCGTCATCCTCCAGGTTTCGAATGGAGGTGCCGCGTTCTTCGCCGGCAAATCCATCCCCAACTCTAACCAAGAAGCTTCCGTCGCTGGTGCCGTAGCCGCAGCCCACTTCATCCGCTCCATTGCCCCCGTCTACGGTGTTCCCGTCATCATGCACAGCGACCACTGCGCCAAGAAGCTGCTCCCGTGGCTGGATGGCATGATCGATGCCGACGAGGCATTCTTCAAGGAGCACGGCACGTCGTTGTTCAGCAGCCACATGATTGATCTGTCAGAGGAGGACCTATCGTACAACATTGAGACGACGACCAAATACCTAAAGCGATCGCAACCGCTAGGTCTTTGGTTAGAAATGGAGGTGGGCCTGACGGGTGGTGAGGAGGACGGTGTCAACAACGAGGACGTCGACAACAACTCCCTATACACACAGCCCGAGGATATCCTTGCCATCTACGAGGCCCTCAGCCCTATCTCCAACTTCTTCAGCATCGCTGCCGGTTTCGGTAACGTCCACGGTGTCTACCAGCCCGGCAACGTGAAGCTCCACCCTGAGCTTCTAGGCAAGCACCAGGCTCACGTGGCCAAGAAGCTGGGCGATGGCCAAGCGAAGCCCGTCTTTTTCGTCTTCCACGGTGGCTCCGGCTCAAGCAAGGCCGAGTTCCAGGAGGCTATCTCTTACGGCGTGGTCAAGGTCAACCTCGACACGGATCTCCAGTGGGCGTACCTGACCGGCCACCGTGACTACATTCTCAAGAACATCGAATACCTCCGGACCCAGGTTGGCAACCCCGAGGGACCCGGCAAGCCGAACAAGAAGAAGTACGACCCTCGTGTGTGGGTGAGAGAGGGAGAGAAGACGATGAAGGCCCGTGTCATCGAGGCTCTCGACGATTTCAAGACTGCTGGACAGCTATAAAAAGCTAACGGATTACGGCTAATGGGAGTAGGCGCATTGTCAAACTTAGGTAGATCTTTTACTGGGTACCTAGTAGTATAGGGCGGTGAAAATGCGATACAGCTTGACTCGGATCGTTCCATCGTTCCTCGTTCCTCGAATGCACTACCCATGACTCTGTTGCTTGGATAGTCTTACCGTGTCGCCTAGTACCTGACACATGGTTGTAATGCTCAGTGGGTTCCTAGGTATTCCTGTCGCCAGTAACGTGGCGCACCCGAGCCCTCCAACGCAGTTAGCCGAAAGCCGGAATCGTGCAAAATAGCCAAGGACTAGATCGGGATAAAGTGGTTCATTATTAGTTACCTAGGTAGGTAGTTAACCACCTCGGCATAGAAATGATAATGTCGTACAACCTAGGTAGGTAGGTATATTAGAACGAGAACTCATCCGTTACACATCCGACTTGGCCCTTTCCCGATATCTTCTTCCGTGCCATGTGAAAGTGCCCAGGTGGTCTGGTACAATTGATCTTACATCACCTTGACTTCATTGGGCGTGACTTAGTAATCTGATGTTTAAATGAATATTTTTCTGGTCCTGAATTATCCTGCAGCTATCCTTCTGAATCGAGTTTATTCACATATTAGCTAGAAACAATCACCAATTTTCCTTGCAATTTCTGTCAGACTTCAACGCACTAACACGTTCTAGATTTGTCCAGTCTGCCGGTGTCTCATGGTATTACGAAGAAGTTTGCTAGCTCCAACCCGACAAGATGGGAACTGATATTTTTAGATATACCGACAAAGGTGGCCGCGTCGGCGAGGTCCTCGGCGGCCAAGTTGCGTGCTAGCAACCTTTTAGATCGAAATGCTTCGCCTGTCTCTCAAGACTCAAGACTGCATATTCTAAACCATCCCCAGGTTATTCCCACATTATATTCCCCCTTATGAGTTACTCTGCGTCTGTGAGGCTTGTCGATAGGCTATCTGCCCGCGTCAGCCATCAGCACCATGTGTATCTTAAGGAAATGAGACGTTGGTATGCATCTGTATACATTCATCCATCCTACCCCTGTGCATATAATATTGCCCTCCCACCAACATGTCACATTCTAACACATCAGCGTCAGCCATGTCCCATGGTTGCATACGCGATCGACGCAACTGATTCGCGAGAATCAGCCTGATCCCCCCAGCCCCAACCTGCAGATCGGTGAGCGTAGTTCCCGTCTTCTAGCTCCGGGGCCTCATCGTGTAACCCGGCATCCTCTACCGGCATATAAGTTGGAGGGGCACCCCCAAAATCTCCGCATTCGACGTCGAACGAAACATCGAGAATCCTACGAGATCGCAAGCGTGATGCAGGTCACGGAGTTTCCTCAGCTTGGCGGTGTAAAAGAAACGGGGCCCCCGCAGCGTAGTTAAGGAGACATCGACCTCATATACTGGGTCCAGTGGAATCCAAGCTGCCTATCCAAAGTGGACAAGTCAGAGTGAAGATGTCAATCCTCGATTATATCTCTTCGCCTTGGGCGTTACTTGTTGGTTTTGTCGCCATCGCGGTCTACTACATCTACCCCTACTTCACGACCTACGACCATCTTCGAGATATTCCCGCGCCGTTCCCGGCACAGTTCACCAACTGGTGGCTCCTCTACGCCAGCAGGCGTGGTAAACGCTACATAGTCGTGGACAAAACCCACAAGAAGCTGGGTACGGTCGTGCGGATCCAGCCAAATCATGTCAGCATCGCCGATGACGAGGCGATCCAAATCATCTACGGCCACGGAAACGGCTTTCTGAAATCCGATTTCTACGACGCTTTTGTGTCCATCAGGCGCGGATTGTTCAATACACGGAACCGCGCCGAGCATACCCGGAAGAGAAAATTGATCTCCAGCACTTTTGCCCCGAAGGCCATAGCCCAGTTTGAACCGTACATCCACGAAAACCTCGAGGTGTTTGTTAACAGGTGGGATGGGCTGATTAAGGAATCCGTAAATACAGACAAGGCGGCTTATATCGATTGCCTCAAATGGTTCAACTACGTCGCCTTCGACACTATCGGGGATTTGGCTTTCGGGGCTCCTTTCGGCATGCTCAAGTCGGGCGCAGACATCGCTGAAGTGCGGACGGCTGTAGATGCACCTCCTATCTTTGCCCCGGCAGTGGAAATCCTTAACCGACGCGGCGAGGTGTCGGCCACCCTCGGCTGTTACGTGCATATAAAACCGTATGCCAAATGGCTTCCCGACCCATTCT